CGTCACACTTAGTCGTTTCAAACGACAAAATCACTACAACCACAAGATATACCACGAATCTTTTGATTGACATTTTCAGGAACTTTAATGCAATTTTTGGAAATTATTCTCATATTTATATAATATTTGTTGAAAATATTTTATGAGATTTCCCGATAGTTATTAGCAAATAAGTGCTGAATAAATAGTTTGTTACAATAATTACAATAACGAAATTGCAAATACATTTTTATATGATTTTTTGATTGATTGACATTCACTTGCATTGTTCACACGAATGTATTTTCAAGTTCAGATCTTATCCCGGAATAAATTGACGGAATAATTGAATAATTGAATAATTTGTCACAATTTTACACAGCTTTTCATGAAATAGTCTATCGTACTAAATTTAATGAGTTTAAATCATTTTTATTGTGAAAATAATTTTAAATAAAAACATTGATTTTTACATAAATTCAATGTTTTTAAATTTTTAGGAATTTTCCATTTGTATTTCATTTATGATTTCAGTTGATTATTCATTAATAGTTCAAGTTAATAATATTCAGTGTATTATTATTGATTGTCAAAGTTATTTGATTTTGATTTATGAGTATATCAGACAAGTTACGCATAAAATCATCAAAAGTCCACTCAAATATTAAATAATAAGTTTTATTTTGTTTATTATGATGCAATAAAAACAAATAACATTAATTAACAAAAATAAATTAAATACATAAAATAAAAATTTAATAAAATTAACAAAATATTAATAAATAACTAAAATAGAGGTAATTATGAGCCGGTATTTGACGCGGTTTTGTGCACTTTCTTTGAGTGGCGTCTCATTTGTGACTTATCGGTGAAACGTCGCTCACAGTTAGGAAATACACAGACAAAGGGTCTCTCATTCCTGTGAGCCATTAGATGTAGTTTTAAGTTATGACTTGTGCTGTACTTCATATGACAGTCAGGCCACGAGCACTGGTACTTCTTGATGCCATTGTGTGCTAATTTATGTCTATTTAGTTTCGATGGCATATAATAACTATAAAATACAAATTAAACACAAGTTAATTAAATAAATGACATTTTAATTACAAATTAGGTGCTATACCTGGCCTCACAGCCGGGCCACTCGCACCGGTACGGGCGCTCGCCTTTAAAATAAAATT